CCACCATGCCCAGCTAACTTTTGTATTTTTGGTAGAAACTAACAGGTTTCACCATGTTGGCCAGGCTGGTCTCAAACTCCTGACCTCAAGTGATCAGCCCACCTCGGCCTCCCAAAGTGCTGGGATTACAGGCCTGAGCCAGTTTGCCCAGCCCCTCTCCCTGCATCTTTATGTGCCTGCAAGGCCAGGAGGTTCCTCCTGACCCCTGGGTTAGGGTGGGGGCCCCAGAGGCCCAGGGGTCAAGGCTTGGGCTGCATCCCAAGGACCTGCGTCCCTGCAAGAGACTGCACCCGGCAGGTTTGGAAGACGCTCCTCTGGAGCCTGCTTGGAGTCCTGCTAGGGAAAGTGAGTGGACGTGCTCCTTGAAGAAACAGGGAAACTTTGGGAGGATGAGGCAGGCGGATCACAAGGTCAGGAAATCAAAATCATCCTGTCTAACACAGTGAAACCCCAACTCTACTAAAAATACAAAAAAGCCCAGCGTGGTGGCGGGCGCCTGTAGTCCCAGCTACTTGGGAGGCGAAGGTTGAAGTGACTCTGCGCCACTGCACTCCAGCCTGAGTGATAGAGTGAGACTCCATCTCAGAAAAAAGAAAAACAGAGGAATCCCACATGTCTCAGGGGTTCTGTCCTGGCCTGCCCCTGGATCGTCCAGCTTGGGCCGGGGTGGGGAACAGACCTCGCCCTTCTTGGCTGGGGAGGAGGGTCCTCCTTCTCCAAAGGCCTAGCCCATGGTTCTCAGCTGCCCGCCCCACTGGGCAGCGCCTGGCCCCTCCCAGCCTTTCTAGGACTGGCACGCGCCCTCAATCAACATGGCTCCGACGGCTTCAGCACGTCATGCCAACTGCCCTCCAGGCTCCTCCCACACTGCTCTTAGCCCCGCCCCTGAGCGGCAGAGGCCGAAGCGTGGCCCGAGGGCCGACTGTTGCATGGGCGGCAGTTGGGCCGCTGTTGTGGGGCTGCGCACAGGTGCTTCCAGGCGGGATGCCGTAGCCCCGGGCGGGCGCTTCCAGGCGGGATGCCGTAGCCCCGGGCGGGCGCTTCCAGGCGAGATGCCATATCCCCGGGAAAGCCCATTGAGGGAGCACAAGTCGCTGGACAGCCTCGGGAGCTTCCACGCCGACTTCCCCGACCACGGTCGCCAGGACTTCAGGAGCAGTGGTAGCCGCAGCTGCTGCGGAGGTGAGGGGTCGGGACCGAGCCGGGAGGTGCCCGGAAGCCTGGCGAAGGGAGTGGGGGAGTCCACGCCCCCTGCAGGCTCCTTCCCCTGGGCGCCCCGGAGTTGGGGGCCTGGAGGAGAGCTAAAGGTCAACGGGCTTGGGGGTGTGGGTTTGGGAGACAGGGGGACCTGGGAGGGCCGGGGCAGAGGAGGCAGGAGGGGGAGGAAACGCCCCTGCTGAGCCCCCTTTGGAGGCAAAAACTGAGCCCAGGCAGTGTTTTTCTTTTTAATGTTTATTTTTAATATTTAACAATTTTTTTGAGACTGGGTTTGGCCCTGTCGCCCAGGCCGAAGTGCAGTGGCGCAGTCCTATCTTCAGAGCCCAAGCCATCTTCTAGCAAGCTTTGCAAGTTAGCTGGGTCCCCCATGCCTGGCTAATTAAACACAAACCACACACACACACACACACACACACACACACACACAAAAATTTTTTTTTTTTTTTTTTAGATATAGGGTCTCACTACATTGCCCAGGCTGGTCCCGAACTCTTGGCCTCAAGCCATCCTCTTGCCTCTTACATTGATCTTCCAAAGCACTGATTACAGGTATGAGCTACTCAGACATTCAGCTGACCAGAGTGGCATGTGCTGCACAGAGCTGGGTCTGGGGATCCTAGAGGAGGAGACAGTTTAGACATCCTGAGATCAGCTCTACTGAGGCGGGACAGTACCTTGGTTTCCAAGGTTCAGATAGAGAACAGGACATGATATCAGGTCAAGGACACCACCCCTGTTCCCCTCCTGACTTGGATGTGGTCAGAAGAGATGTGGGGCTGTTGTCTGGGCGGCTTTTGCCTTCTCTTCATCCTCTTTCTCTGACTTTGTGGCATTCAGTATAGAAGAAAGAAAGGAGAGGGCTGGGTGCCAGCGTGAGCTCCACTCACAGTGTGAGAAGCAAAGCCCCCCTATCCCCCAACCAGCCTTCCTCCCTGACAGGCAGTGGGTCATCTGCCTCTTAGTCATGGGTCTGAACCTTCTTGCCTGGGGCTGGGATGTGGCCCTGGGCTCACCCTTGTCTCAGGAGATACTGGGCCCCATCCACTCCGAGGAGGAATTCCTGGCCCCACTGGCCCAGGTGCACAAACCTCCCTGGCAGTTGTCCTGTCACCTGCAAATTATCTGTCTGTTCTGCCAAGAGTCCCTCTGTGTGTCATTGCTTGTGCTAGGCCTGGGGCACAACTGAGAAGCATGCTGGTTTCGGATCCCTTTGGGGGCCTAGAAGCTGAGTCCTGCCCTTCTCTGTGTAGACAGGCCCCACCCTGGACATGCTGGTTCCCTTCACCTTCAACGTCATCGACTAGGACTGGCGGCTGTGGCATTCTGTCGGCTGGGTGTGGTGTGAACTGGAGGTGACCCTGCTGGAGCAGTGGACCCAGGACCTGCACACAAGAGGGGTGCTGATGATTGGCAGTGCCCACTCCTATGCCATCATGGTCAGTGTGGCCAGGAGCAGGTAGGGCAGGTGGGTGGGCATTGTTGCTGAACAACATGGAACCTCCGGTTGCCAACCACAGCTTGTCTCCTGGGGTGGGACGGTGGGGGCCCTGTCCTGCCCTGCCCTGGGGGCTGTGCCCTGTGTAGAGGGATAGGTGGCTTGATCTACCCCATTGGGATGCCATTCTTCCCATGTGGCTAGCAGGCCTCTGAGCCCCATGCTGCAGGTTATGTGAGGGAGTGCCCCATAGCAGGGCCCCTCCTCATGCCCTGACCTGCCACCTCCTCCCCATATCTTCCCGTCTCTGCAGTGGGTGAATGGGGTTGATGTGCTAAAGAATGAGGAGGGCTATCTCCCCTTCAAGGCCAACATCAGCAGCCTGTTCCAGGTGGGGACCCTGCCCTCCCATCTCCATGTCACTGTCACCATCAGCAACACACTTACCCCCTTCCCCCTGCCACCAGGGACCATCTGCTACATGATCGACTCATCCAAGTGGATACCAACCTGCGTCCACTGCCTGTACCCACCTTCCCGCTCCACCCTATGGTCTTCCTGCTAGGGATAGGGTGGCCTTTGAAGATTGGAGGCCCTGGATCTGGGGAGGCTGTGGAGACATTCCAGCTGAGGTCAAAGGACCCAGGGCAAGGACCCAGCGAACCACAATTCTCCCACCCTAGATATCCCAAGGGTTACTTTGTCCAGAACACAGACTTTGACTTCTTCAACTCAGCAGGACTGCAGCAGTCTGTGCTTCTGTACATGACACCCAGCACCTACATCCGTGACACCATCACCACCGGCGTGGAGAAAGACTGGTGAAGGCTTCTGGTAGGATCCTTTCTCAGTGGGGCCCTGGGTGGCTCTGTTTGGAAAGCTCTCCCAGGAAAAGGTTCTCCTAGCATCTCTAAACTCTCACAGGTTCCCATCCACCCATGAAGCTAAAATCCAGGCTGTCAGGCACTGGCTCCCAAAATCACCTGTTCGGCTGGCCTCACTTGGAGAAGAGGGGTCTGGTCTAAGGTCACACAGCTCAGGGTGGCAATCCTGTCCCTTCCCCACGGTGCTGCCCTCACTCCAGCTCCCCTTGGTACACATCGTGCTCAAGGAACAGGCAGCTTAGGAGGTACTCCCGTGGCCAAGCCCCACCTGAGGCCCCTTCATGTGCCCCCAGGCTGAGCAAATAGCAGTGTTGCCTGTCTGTGGTTTCACATTCAACTAATTATATATTCTAATGCTGCTTAACTGTGTGCCTTGATGACTGCCTCTCTCCATCCTTTAATGACCATGTGGCCCCCGTGGCTCATGGGTGAAGGTGTGCTGGGCCCAAGATGCCTCCTCCCAGGGTGGGCCTCCAGGACTCAGCTACTGGACAGTGACAGTCAGCCATGAGGGATAGGGTGGGACCAGGGCAGGGGCTCTCCTGGCTGCTGATAGCTGTTCACCTGACCTCCAGTGTTGCTGCCACCCCGCTATAGGTGACTAAGGTGTGGGCCCAGGGCACCTTCAGACTCAAGCCCAATGATGAGGACAGCCAATGAGCGCCACCTGAAGGTAAGACCCCTGCAGCCCCATCTCTTCCCTGGACTCCCTTCTCCACCTGGCCCTGGGCCACTTTGAGCATTAGCACCATCATTTTGTTTACTTTGCCATTGGCAGACAGCAGCGGAGACCTCAGGACATGGGCCAGAAGCAGTGGCTCATGCCTATAATCCTAGCACTTTGGGAGGCTGAGGTGGGAGGTTCACTTGAGGCCAAGAGTTCGAGACCAGCTTAGGCAATACAGTGAGATTCTGTAACTACAAAAAATTATTATTTTTTAAAAAGTCTCTGCAGAAACGGCAAGAGATTTGGGCAGAACCCAGAGCCCTGGGGTAGGGAGGGAGGTTGGCAGGGCTGATGTTGGCACAGTCTATATGCCCAAAGGTTTGAGCCCTGTGGGCTTATAGACTGTGACCCTGTGCCTCCCTTCACCTCCAGGAGCTCAGCTTATTGGTGAAACCACAGGGAAACTGCACAGGACACAGCCGGAATGATCAGGTGCTTCTAGTTCCTCCAGCCCCCTGCTCTGTGCTGTCCCAACCTTGGGGAGCCCAGGGGGCAGTTAGAGCTCAGCAGGGTCCTGCCTCCCCAGGGAAGCAGCACGTCGGCCTCACTGAGCACCACCTCCTCCTCACACAGGTGGTCACGGACCTCAGGCTGTGGATGCTGCAGACCTGCTCCATGCTCTTGGGTCTCCTCTAGGAGCTCATCAGGACCATGGTGGAATGGACAGAGGTGTGAGTTCCCCAGTGACAGCCACAGGGCAGAGACAGGTGTGATGGCAGCCTTAACACCAGATCCAGGTGGCAGGACTGAACAGGGTAGGGGTGCCAGGCCCTGGGAGACAGGGGCATCCCAGAACTCTAGGATCGAGGCACAGCAGCCAGGAGTGGGGCATTTCCTGCAGGCCCCAATACTTGAGCCCATGCCAGTCTAGCCCAGCAGTCAGGGAAGACTCACCCTTCACGGGGCCTGGTATGGTGGCTCACAACTGTAATCCCAGCACTTTGGGAGGCAGAGGCGGGAGGATCACCAGAGCTGAGTTCAAGACCAGCCTGGCCAACATGGTGAAACCCTGTTGCTACTAAAAATACAAAAATTAGCTGGATGTGGTGTGCACCTCTAATCACAGCTACATGGGAGGCTGAGGCCACAGAATCACTTGAACCAGAAAGGCGGAGGTTGCAGTGAGCTGACATTGCATCACTGCACTTCAGCCTAAGAGACAGATTGAGACTGCGTCTCAAAAAATAAAAAGTAAAAAGAAAACTCACCCTTTGTGGATTTGAGGGAAGGAAGCTAAGGCACTATCTTGGCTGTGCCTGGAGCAGCCAGAGTCTCTCCCCACCCTGTCTGTGCCCTGGTCTCCCATCCCATATTCCGTGTCCCCACCCAGCCCATCTAGTGAAAGACAGAGCTAAAGGCTGCCTCCTGCTGGCCTCATCCCAGGCTTTGGCTTCTGGGACCTGGTGTCTTTGGGTTTGGATTTGTTCCTTGCAGACCTGTAGGGGGAGCTGCTGAGGAGTCACCATGTGTTGTTAGAGACCCCTCCTCTTCCTCAACTCCCTGTGACCCCTGTTTCTCAGACCTGGGGGGAAACAAGGGCACACAAATTGTCACCCTGGAGGTGGGGTGGGGCTGCTAGGAGGAACAGGGAGTGTCTGCTACTGAGTTCGGGGTTTCTTTAATTTTTTTTTTTTTTTTTTTTTTTTTTTGTGAGACAGGGTCTCGCTCTATTGCCTAGTCTAAAGTACAGTGGTGCGATCTCTCCTACCTGCAAGCTCCACCATCTGGGTTCTAGTGATTTTCGTGCCTCTGCCTCCCAAGTAGCTGAGATTACAGGTCAGTGCCACCACATGCAGCTAATTTTTGTATTTTTTTCAGCAGAGATGGGTTTTGCCATGTTGGCCAGGCTGGTCTCTCAAACTCCCGAGCTGAGGTGATCTGCCCACCTTGACCTGTCAAAGTGCTAGGATTACAGGCATAAGGCACTGCACCTAGCCTAAATTTTAAATGTTTAACTTTTTTTTTTTTTGAGACAGAGTTTTGCTCTTGTCGCCCAGGCTGAAGTGCAGTGGCACTCAGCTCACTGCAACCTCTGCTTCCTGGATTCAAGTGGTTCTCCTGCCTCAGCCTCCAGAGTAGCTGGGGCTACAGGTTCATGCCACGCCTAGATACTTTTTGTATTTTTTAGTAGAGACCAGGGTTTCACCCTGTTTTCCAAGATGTTCTCAATCTCCTGATCTTGTGGTCTGCCCACCTTGGCCTCCCAAAGTGCTGAGATTACAGGCGTGAGCCACCACACCCAGCCACATTTTTAATTTTTTAAGTTGTCTTCAGAGACGATTTCTTTCTCTGTCACCTAGGCTGAAGAGCAGTGGCTCGATCATAGCTCACTGCAGCCTCAAAATCCTGGACTCAAAATGATCCTCCCACCTCGGCTTTCTGAGTAGATAGGACCACAGGTGTGCACCACACCTGTGAATTTTTAAAATATTTTGTGGAAACGGGTTCTCGCTATGTGGCTCAGTCTGGTTGAACTTCCAGCCTCAAGTGATCCTTCCCTCTTGGCCTCCCAAAGAGCTGGCATTACAGGCTTGAGCCGCCATACCTGGCCTTGAGTATAGAATTTGTTTAGGAGATGGTGAAAATGTTCGTAAACTGGTGATGGTTGTACACTAAAGTGCAAGCTTTAAATGGGTAAATTATATATGAATGATACCTCAGCAAAGCTGGTTTATTTAAAACAAAAAAAGGCTGGGTGAAGTGGCTAATGCGTATAATTCCAGCACTTTGGGAGGCGGAGGCGGGTGGATCACTTGAGGTGAGGAGTTCGAGACCAGCCTGGCCAACATGGTGAAACACTGCCTCTACTAAAAATACAAGAAATGGTGACTTGAACGAGGGGTAGGGTGTCCCACCTGCTTGGAGCGGCTCTTTATGAGCCCCAGCTATTTCTTGGGTCCTCAAACGAAACCTCCCATGGCCATGTCATACCCGACACTGGCCTCCTCCCCTTTTCTGGCTCCCACTCAGAGATGCTGAGTGACAGAGGCTCAGGCTTTGGGTGTTCCTGGCAAAGCCTCAACCCAGGAGCCCCATAGCTCAGGCCCAGTGCATGGTTCACATGGCCACACTTCCGGCCTCTTTTTCTCTTGAGAGCAATTTTTCCCTGGGAGATCCTGGATCTCTCATTCAGGTGCAGTTCTACAGGACAACACTTCTTTCAGGGGTGACCCAGGCCTGCAGGGTTCCAGTGTCGCCAGCAGACCTTGCCCCAGCCTCCACCCGAGCCCCTGCTCCTCCTCTCCCACAGAGAACATGATGTCCTCTTCCAAGGGTACAGCCATCTGCAGAGGGCCAAGCCCCTCCACTGGAGCCACTGGATTCTGAGGTGACTTGAGTGAGGTGCAGGGGCCATGCTGGAGGGGAAGACCCTGGCTGCCCTGACCCTCCTGCCCCGACCCTCCTGCCCCTGGCTTTCCACAGCCACACCATTGCACTGACCCAAGGCTCTGAGCAGCTGCTGAAGGTGCGGAAGTGGATAGGTGTCCTGCCCCTGGGGAGGTAGGTGAGGCTCCAGTGCTCTGAGGGCCTGATGGGGGTAGCTGCTACATAGCTTTAGGGATTGACAGATGAGGTGGGAAGGGCAGAATGGGACAGAAAGTCAGGTTATCTGCTCAGAGGGGGACCTTGCATGGAACCCCAGATCTCACTAAGATGGGGATGTCCAAGCCAGTGAATGTTTCTGAGCAGGGCCAGAGCTCTCCAGTGAGGCTCCTGGCCAGCCCAGCCTGCTGCCATCAGTGTGACATATGGGGACATTTGTCAGGAGACCAGGGTCCTGCACCCAAAGTGACTCAGTGCTTGGGGTAAACTATTCTGGGGACACTTGGGGATAAGTGTGCACCCAAGTTGATTGGGCCAGGGAAGGGGCTGAGCTCCAGGTGGTTGCCCTGGCAACCAGAACATGGTTCTGTTGGGGTTGTTTTTGTGGGGGGAGGGGTGGCCTGCCTGTAAGGAGCCCTGGTCACCATGAATTCCTGTCCCTGCAGTGGGGCAATTTTGGGCAATCCCCTTGGTTGTGGATCAAGAGCTGCTCTGAGCAGACGAGATGCCCTTCCCATCCTCCCTAGGGGGAGTCACCCTCAGCACCCGCCAGGACACGAAGCCACACCTGAGACCAGAAGGCAGGGGCCTATGGCTCCTGGTGAAACCTTCATTTATTGCCCATGGGCACTGAGGTCTTCCATGACATGGGTGCCTGGTACTGAGAGACTCAGGGCTCCTGCCTCCCTCCTAGGGTTGTGCAAAGAATGCCTCTCCCCAGCTCCCATCCTGCCTACCCTGATCCACTTTCCGGGAGCAGGGGGCTGGGCAGCCTGGTTGGGGGAGAGGA